TTTGATTTCGATTTTTGGACGATTACTATAACTTACCCTACGGGAAGTTAATTATAATGTAATAATTCAATATCCGTTTGAAAAACTGATCAAAATTAGTTGGGAGGAATCATGCTACTTAGTTTTTAGTGAAAAATTGACTGGACTGTTTTTTCGCTATTAATTGTTGAACTCGTTTTTGCGATTTTGATTATGAGTTTATGATCTTTACAAATTGTCTAAAATATTATAGGTCTACTAGGAATGGCTTAATTGTGAACATTCAAGTTCGGGATAATGGGACATTCCAATATTCATTGTCGTCACAATTTGAAATGGAGTTAAATTTCGTAAAGACTATGTCAATTATTAACCCATATTGTTGAGGCAAGTTTTTACAACTTGCTTTAAGTCAAAATCCAACAGTTTATTCTTTTCATCCACTACGCATTTTTTATATAAAATTTGATGAGTTTAAGTTATAAATCTGTAATCAAATTTTTTGAAACAAATTTCTATATGTTAAGATCGGCATAAATAGATAAAAATTTGGACTAATAATTATGTCATATCGTTCAATAAATATTCAGTTTATATATATAGATATTGGTAAAAATTTCAAACTTTGTAACAAAGATTATGCATATTGTTACAATCTCTATAAAAAATATCTATTTAACCACCCGCGTTTTGTATTATAATACATTATGTATTTTAGAAGCGCTGGGTCTGCCTTTACTAAAAACTTGTCGATTATTCTCACTGTCAACGCTAATCGAATATTTTTGAATCATTAAAATAAATTGATTCGCTTTCTCCAAAAAGCGAATGACCATTTTTTGCACTTCCTGAGAATTATAACATCCGACCGCAAGTAAGCATCTTTTTTCCAAAGATGTAATGGGTTCAAACATAAAAGGACAATACATTCATTAATTTTTATCATGTATGCAAATTAATTTGAACTTAAGCTTTTCATATTTATTAAACATTAATAAAAAGACATTTTATTAAATAAAAAAAAATGAAGCAAGAAGCGCAATGTGGAATTTTTATTGCATATCTTTACTATACGAATTTTAATCAATAATGAATAAATCTAGTTTAGCAAGTGTATTAGAGCAATAAATAAGTTAAATATTTTATTTTATATATATGCTGCCAAAAGTTACTACTCGCGCATTTAAAAAATAAAACTAGTGATGTGTATGGCATTGTGCCTTAAGGCAAATTGCTGGAACTTCCCGTACCGTGACGAAATACCCGAGGAATATTAAATGTTTTCAAATAGATTATTATAAATAAATACTGTAACATCGTCTAATATTTATAAGAATTATATAAACTAAATTGCAAAGTTGAAAATATTTGTTTAAAGTATATTAGAACTTAAGTCAGAATTACAATTAAAATCTGAATTATTTTTGATATACAAAAAAAATTGAAAAAAAATAATTAATTTTTTTTCCGAAAGCCATTGTTTCGTCAACACAAGCGGAAAGTTTTTTGAATCATTCAAATCGGGTGCTTAGTTCTCTCAAAAACTGCCATTTTTTGTACGTTTAGCTTCGTATCTTTGAAACGGCTGGGCCCGCCTTTGCCTAAAACTTATCACCACTTCTAAACCACTATAAAACACACACACACACACCCACATACACACACATCAATTTTTTCTGAGGTATGTCTAAATGTTCAAAAACCTTCAAAACGTGAAGTTATGGCAACATTTTCATTTTCGATTTTCGGCCCGTTACTATAGGGGGGCGGGGGGTTATTGATTCCTTATTTTGGGTGACATTTTGGTGACAGCTTCGCTTACTTTTGCTGACATAGGGGGAAGGGGGGGGGTAAATAATTGTACTTAAGTTTGCTTATGTAATACTTGAACGATCCCTAACTACCCTACGGGAAGTTAATAAAAATGCTATTACGTATTTTTCTGCTCTATTTCAAAGTTAGAATGATAATCCAATAACATATTGTTTAATAATTTATGATAATAATATAACCCAAAATAATTTTTGGTGGTAGCATGAAAAAATTGCTTTTACCCCACATTTTTAGTTTGGATTTCCAATCAATTAGCTCTTGAAGTAAGAAAGTTGACATTTTGTTCACAATACAATAGCACCCCGTATTTTATTCTTAACATGAAACGTTAAGATGTGGAATGAATATAATCGTTTATAACACCGGTAGTATGAAATATTTATCGTCGATACATACATTTGCCGGTATCTGTAACGCATAATACTAGTACTGTTACTTTCACCTTTCGAAGTGCATTCAATATCGCGTTGTAATAAAATTCACTCTGCCGTAATCTGGAATGTTTGCGGTAGAATGACGTGTTCGAAGTGCGCGTGCTATTCGGCACCCCTCACAGGGTGAACCGCTGACTTTTTCCCCAATTCTTTAATTCAGCATCATATTGGATGCGTCATATGTGTTTTAGTTGATTGCTGCGAGTCCAATTGCTTTCCACTTTTGTATCCAGGGCGGGCGTCAAAAAATATTCAATGAAAGAATTCGAATTTGTGTTCTTATGATTATGATTTTAAATGAAAATGTGCAATAATTTTGACCCTTTACTCATTGTTTTAAACATATGAATTAGAAGTTTGGATTTCGGTGTGATTAAATGATAAAGAATTTAAAGGGTCCGATTTAAATAGAATTTTATATTTTAGTTGCGGCGCATATTTTTGAATATGTGTTACATATTCGAATATCTTATTTTCGTTATAGTAACATAGTATTTATCTTATATTCGATAAAAAAGTATTATTTTTTTATAATCTATAATCGATTGCCAAATACATGGTATCACATTTTAGGAAATTAATATTTAACTCTCGCAGGGTAAATTATATTATAGTAATCGCAAATAAATCGTAATTGAAAATATTTGCATATGTTTATGCTTTAAAGATATCTGAACATTTTAGAATATCTTAAAAAAAAAATAGATTGGTGTGCGTGTCTGTTCGTATACAATTTTTTATCCACCATCTTGAGATCACGCGTCAACCGATTTGAATGATTCAAACAACATTCGTATTTTTCTTCATGGGGGATGATTCAAAAACATTTTATTTTAATGATTAAATTTTGAATTGAAGGCAGGTTCAGCGGTTTCGGAGATCCAGAAAGAAAAACAGAAATAGAGATTTCAATATTAAGTATAATATTTTCTTTATTTTTGTTGGTTCCGTATAATGTTTAAAGTTGCTCACAAAGTTCAAACAAATGTCCTCAACATTTTTGTATGAATCAACCGGCATAAATGGGTTTCAAAATTTTCAACGAATTTCAATATATTCAAAAAAAAATTTAAAAGAAATTAAAAAGATGCAATTTTTTCCAAAAATTCGATTTTTTCAAAAATTTCAAATTTTTCAAAAATCTGTTATTTTCAAAATTTTAAATTTTTAAAAAATTTGAAATTACCATACGAGAAGTTCCAGCAGTTTTTTCCACTAGCTAATGGAAAAATTTATCTAACAAAAATTATATGCATCAAATAATACTTGTGAATATATTTGATCATATAAAAAAGTTTCAGTAATGAGTTCAATTGTACTTACCTAGTGCCTAAATCTTGAATAGTAGAATAATAAAAAAAGTAATATAAAATGTACAAAAAAATTAAATAAGAATAAATACTTGTTTCATACAAATAACACATTTATTTTGAATAGTTTACATATTTAGTTTACTCTTATCCCTATAATTAGCTTAAGAGTGAAAAAAATATAGACCTTTTTTATAAGATTAATAAAAACATTAGTTGATTTATTTTAGTGCTTAGACAATATTAGATTTCAAAACGTTTCATTTTGAATTCTTCTGTGTTCGATTTGAGTAAAGTAAATTCAACTAAATAAGAGAATATCAATATGATTATATCCATATTTATGCTTGTTTATCTATGATTATGTCAACAAGAGGGTAAAAATATATCGATCTTATATATGCATTATGCATTATATAATTATTATATAATGCAATATTTAATTATAGTTAAAAATTTTTATGTATGGTTATACAAGAAATTAAATAGTCGTGTTTTGAATACATATAAAAGTTTCTTGCAAACTATAATTAAAATTCTAAATGATATTATATAAGCTCAATTTTAAATTGGAATTAGGATAATCTAGATCAGAAACGAAATATGTATTTTAAAATTTTTCTTTCGTTCATGTATTCTTAAATTTTTCGTGTAGTTTATGCTTATTTATTTAATATTTATATTTTTCAGGAGGTTGGTGAAAAATTACCAGCCCAAAAAGAAAGATGATGAAGACTATAAGTACGTATTTTTTTAAATTACTTATGTATTGATAAATTGAATTTATTAATCCTTTTATTAAATTCAATCGTCGTCTAATAATAATCGTATGTTGCACAAAATTTCTGTTTTAAGTTTTAGCTCATGGCGGGCATTTAAATTGATGCTGAATGAAGTTAGCGATCTTGCAGGACAGAGGGAGGTTGTTGCTGAGAATCTTATGTCACAAGTCGTTCATGAAATTACACTAATTACAAAGGAATTACGAGAAGACAGAAAAGTAAGCAATTATATCTATCGTCAATAACCATTTGACCCTATTTATATATATATATATATATATATATATATATATATTTATATATATATATTGTCCAGCTTTTAGGTTAATTAAGAGTAACAAAATACACAACGTGAAATAGACACAATAAAGGCATTAGTAGTTACAAAATTTTACTATGAAGAAAATTTCATGCAATGCTTGTTGAAAAAGATTTATAGATCAGAATTATATAAAAAGTAGTCTACTCAGTAATTTTGATTAAAAAGAACTGATTTTTATTAATTGAATAAAATTTAAACTTAAAAAGTATTTGCTATGAATACTTTTTATTTTTAATGAAATTAAAACTGCCTTTTTGGCTTATTGAAATTAATTTGGAAAATATATATAAATTAAACTAAACATCTATCGCATTAAGTATATCATTTTTTTTTATTCTAGAGGCATTTATTAGATGGTCAAAAGATGACCCAAACATTATTAACACAATTATCAGCACTAGACAGAGCACGAAAAGGTTATGAAAAATCTTTCAGGTAAAATGTATTTAATGGTGCCTTTAAGTTGAGTAACAATATTAACTTTTAACTTTTCACCATAGAGAATCAGAACGAGCATTGGAAAACTTCCAAAAAGCAGATGCTGATTATAATCTCAGTCGAGCCGAGGTAGAAAAGCAAAAAAACAATATGACCACAAAAGCACATCAGTGCGAAGATTCAAAAACAGAATACGCTAATCAGCTACAAAAAACAAACGAATTGCAGAGGACACATTTCACCACGTCGCTTCCTGAAGTTTTCAATAGGTTAGAATAAATATTATTTATTTTTATCAAAGGTCTACCCCTAACATTTTTTTTTAAATTTAGAGACCAATTTTCTTTATTTTAATTTTCTGTAATTTGAAAGTGAAAAAATCATAGAACTTTTTTATTTCGAATTACTTTACTTTTATCCCCTAGTTTGGTGAACTATTATTTGATATAATTTTAGTTATGATTTTTTTGAGTTTATGAAAATGTTACTTTAAAAAACAATTTAATGTTATTAAGAGTTGTCCAACCCTTTTTGAGTTTTAAGGTCAATTTTCTTTATTTTTATTTTTTTAAATGCATAATTAAAAAATACATACAACTCTTAATTTTCACCTTGCTTCCACAAATTTCTATTCCATAATAGCCATTTTAGTAATCGAATAATCGAATAATTTTTCAGTCAGTGAGTGTTTTTTACTGAATTTCATTTCATATTTTCCTGACCTTATGATAAAGCACGAATTTTACTTTAAAAAAACTATTTATTTTTATGAAGGGTTGTCCACTCGGACCAACCCAAGGAACTAGATACGAAACAAAATTATGGCAAAGCTGTAAAAATTTCCAACCTCTTAATTTTTTTTCAATCTCAGTCAATTTGCTGGGAATGTCACATAACAATATAATTTGAAATTTAATTATCAGATTTTACTTCGTAATTAAAAAATTACTGAATCAATGAAAAGCGTGTAATAATATATCAAAATGTTGAAACTATAAATGTTTAAATGTGTTCATTTAAATAGTTTATATATTAGGTTGATTCAGTTTCAAATTAGGTTGGCACTTGCAAAAACTATTAAGAGGCGTGTTTTGCAGTTGGTAAACTTTTTTTTCGTTAGTTTTTCCTTTCACTCATATAGTACATTTGCAATCATTTAGTTGTTTTTATACTAGCAATTTTATACCAGAAATAATTTTAAGGCAAAACAACGTTTGCCGGGTCAGCTAGTATACATAGCTCATATTTAGAAATATGAACAGCATTCTTTTTTGCACTAATTTATTAAATGGCAGGAGTTCAAATATGTGCTATGAAAACAAACTCCTTATATATAAAACAATAATTATCCCAATCTGGACATACGGCATTGAGCTATGGGCGTGCGCAAGCAATTCAAATATAAAAAAAATACAAGTAGCGCAATCAAAAATTTTAAGATGCATTGTGAACGCACCCTGGTATGTTACAAATGACACCCTACATAAAGACTTAAAAATAAAAACTATTAATTAGATGTTAAAAGAAAGGAGCAAAAGATACCATGAAAAACTACCAGGTCACCCAAACATTTATTTAAAAGAGATAAGCGAGGAATATCCGACACGCAGATTGAAAAAAAAAATGGCCATACGACCTTAAATAAATGTCAAAAATGAAAATATAAAAGAGAGATATCTCAAAGGAGATAATCTCTTATATGCATTAACACCAACATCACATTGACTTAAAAAATGTATTTAATTTTGATCGACAATAAAAGTATGCAAAAAAAAAAAAAAAGATTTATTAAATAATTAATTTAATTTTACAAAGTTTCAAGACTAGGTTTGGTTTGTCTCATCATCAGAGTGTTATAATTAAATATCTAAAATATGAATATAGCATTATGTGTTAACTGTTCCAACTTCTTCTGCTTACTGGTCCAGTAAGCAGAACAAGTTGGAACAGTGGCATCTATGGATCCAAAGGGTGATTATTGAAATACGGTGGTTATTTCATGATATATCAGTAGTTTATGATCAGAAAATCGTTTACAATATACGATAGTGCTATATTGTGGATCAAAATCCACTAGTTTTCTTTTCACAAGTTTACATCTCTCTCTAGTTTTCCATAACTTACAATAATATTCTCTATTTGGTGTAGAACTATCTGGAACGAACACCAAGTACACAGCACTACCATAATCAAAGAAAATCAAACTTCAACGCGATTGAAAGTAAGGTGACCATAAGTCCCGGTTTACACCCTACTGGGTTTTTTGTCCCGGATTGTCTCGAGTAAAAATTTTATGTTCAATTTCACAAAAATTAACAAAATCCGGGAAACGAACGAATAAGCGCTAATTTTTCAAGTTAATTATAAAGAAAATTTTATGCGGCTCAAAATTATATTTATATATGGCTCAAAACTGAAAGCATATCATAAATAGAAAAATATTAGATAATATAATACATCATCACAGGTAAAAAAGAGTATAATGTAATCGAACAGTAAATTTTCAAAGTCCAATTCTGATTAAAAAAATATCTTTTTTCATTATATTCGCTATGTATTTTATTTGTATTTTTTCTTCTCCGTCCCGGATTAGCATAACTAAAAATTGCCGTCTCGGTCTTGACTTTAAAAAATATGGTCAATTTATTAAAAGTCTTGGTTTCGGCTCATTTGGATAGCGCCATTCAGCTGCCTGTTGTGGATTGTATACCCACATGCTTTGAATGAACGTTTTTGACTATTCAAGATGTTGATGAACCACCAGATCTTCCCCGACTTCTTTGTTCTCTGCAATCGCTTTACACTACTCATATCCCCCTGTTTTTGATCAAGCATGCTTGCCATAGCCATTTTTCACCATTTTCACCAAATCGGCATACGAAATTTTGTTTAAAAACATATTTGTTTATTTTACCTCCTTTATATAAATGAACTATTGCCGTTTAAAATCATTTTATTTATTTTACGTATTCTTTTATTAAAATTATAAAATATTTTATTATATATAAATTGAGCACACGTTACTATTTTATTATAATTTTTCAGACTTCAAGAGTTAGACGAGAAAAGAGTTCGTGGGGTTCGGGAATTTTTAAGAAACGCTGCACAAGCTGAAATGACAGTTGCACCCATTATAGATAAATGTCTACAAGGGATCTGCAATGCCGCAGATAGGATTAACGAAAAAGAAGTAAGGCAGATATTTCTTCTATCAGCATAATATTTATTAAGCTTTCGACCCGGATGCCGGAATTCGCGAGTTGAAAGGGTCAACCTATTTGTGATAATTTATTGATATCTTAACACTTAAAATTTAGTATTTTTTTCATGTTTTAGAATAATTGTGAGGTTCTATGCATGTATAAATACACATTTCGATTCTAATATCATGGAGCATTTCAAGAAACTTAGTCGATGAAACCATAGTTCAGAAAATTATTGTGAACCGCGAAATTTTCAATAGTGTTTTCTCCAAATTTGCTTATATAAACTTACTAATTTTGCATTTGCATATTCATAATCAAAACGAACTTCCTAAAATACTATAATAATTAAAGATTTGAAAAGTACGCGCTTTACCTAAACTTTAGATTATAAAGTGTTCTGTTATGGTGGTTTTGTAATAAAATATTATTAATAATTATTATAAACTATTAATAGAATGTTGCTTAATGTTTATGATAATTCTAGCAGGCAAACTAATGAAAAAAAAGAAAGTTGTAATTTCAAATGGATAAATTTTATATTTTTCAAAATGTTTAAACCCATGTTAATTACTAATTTTAAACTACTATTTATTAATTATATTTCATGTAGCATTTATTTAGAAATATGAATATTTCAGAAAAACGTCTTTAACGAACACGAGCTCATTACCTAAAACTATGCTTAGTATGTTGACGGATTTTTTAAGAAATTAAGTGCTTCATTTCTAGAGCGAAAGAAGTTGCATAATTAATATCGCTTTATTAGATTTAAATAGAATTCCCAAAGTAAATTCGTCTAGACCAGTGATTCCCAAAGTGGTCCTAGACACCAATATCCAAATTTCAACATTTTCAATATTCAAATTTATTTTCTAACTGCATTGTGCCCATATTGAAAATTACAGCTAGAAATGCTCAAAATTCTTGTGATTACGCCACTACGGCATTCGTTCGTTAAGGGCTAATAATGGTTAATTACGTTTTTGTATGTTTTATTCATGTTTATACTTTTATTGTAATGCTTCATATTACAATTATGTTACTGTTTTATTATAATGCTTCATATTATAATTCTATAATTTTTACATGATAGGATTCAGCATTAGTGATAGAAAGGTATAAATCCGGCTTCACTCCTCCTGGGGATTTTCCATTCGAAGATTTATCAAAACAGAATGGCAGCGGAGTCGGTGGCAATCAAATCAACAATCAAACCCTTGCCTCCACGAATCCTATAAACCCACATCCAAGCTTAAACCACCACACCGTGCATCATACTGTAAAAGGGACGTTGGGAGCCAATAAACTCAAGAAAAGGGTTGGATTGTTTGGTATCTTTAGCAGTAATAAGGTTAGTCACAAAATTATTTTAATCATTAAAATTGTCTTTGCAAACGATGACAATACGCATCTCCGCTGATTTTATTAAATTTTTGTGGACGAAAAACAAACATACAAGAAAAAAGTTTTATATTAAATTACATGTTTAATGTTGCAAATAAAACATATTATTTGTCAAATGCAGTTCATTTTGATTTCGATTTTCACAAATCACGAAAAGTGTAATTAATTAGTTGTTTTCTTGTGTGATTCATTAATTAATTGAAACGACTATGAAAACTTGATACCTGAATAGTATGTATTTTAATATGTTCATATTTGTTTATTAATATATTCATTTCTATTCTTAGTGCATAGCGATGTTTCGTAGACATGGTTTAGGCTTGATACTGCACGTGGCTTTTTTAGTGATATATTATTAGATATAGTTAATTTATCTATATTAGCATAACAGTATTTCTATAAATTATTTATTGTATTTATACGTTTTGTTTTAAATCATTCTCGGTAGATGAGAAGTAAATAATAATTAAGAGTATTATGAAAGAAGTAAACTTACTTTTCACGATTAGTATTGTTGATTGATCTACTGAACTATTCAGTAGATATAATATATTCACTAGAATTTATTTTCGTATTAATAATTAATATAATATCACATTAATAGAATATATTTTTGCACTATTATGTATAATTAATACAATATCGCATTGATCTAATATTAAAATAAGTGTTAATGTTACGATATTAATACTATATTCTTTTTCTTGAAAATCTAAATGGTGTCGGCCCGTAATTTGCTCAATGATGCACTTCATTTCGTCCTTATCAAATGTAAGTAACGGAATGAGATTTAGTATACTTTCTGTGCTCTAACAAAATGATACGAGATCATGAGTTTACACTTTTTCTTATATTATTCCACAACTGAATATGGCACCGGCTATTGACTATGATACGACTTTGCACTTTTCTAACCGTTTATTAAAGCTTGTTTTAGTGTAAATTTTAGTAATGAATTTAGTAAATTTGAAGAAATATATGTGAAAGCCATATATTTGTAACCATCGGAAAACCACGTAGAACATATAATAAATTATTTAATTTTGCTCCGGCGCCATATTTTTGGTGTAGATCTGCACTAAGCTAAATAACATTACAAAATGCAGCAAATATCTTATGTTATATATTTATGATTTATTTATGTCTGTATGCTTGATAAATTAAATATGCTTAATCCTTGTTTCTATGTTTGTTTAATACTTGTTTGTTGTATCTCGTAAAATTCGATAATTTAAAGCTTTATATTGTGCCTTTACATAGCTTAAATAAATAAATTTAAATTGAAATACGATACTAATATAAAATATACCAATTCGAACGTTTTGACAAGACTCGTCCAACACGAAATCACAGTAGCGAATTAACTTTTTCAATTAATAATTGAATTTCAATACTAATTTCTATTTCAATGTTAAGCATATATAAGAGATTAGGACATACGGATTTTATTGATGATATGAAAATACTAATAAGGTCTTTGGACAGAAGTTTAATTACAAAAATTAATTTATATTAGGAAAAAAGTGGGTGCATTCTATATATTGCAAGTAAATTGTATTGTGTAAGCAAATAGTTGAACGGTTAAATTTACTTGCATATATCTTTTACAAAATGTAGGTGATAACGATGGCAGTTTTCTCGCGAATAAAGTATTTGCATAAATTTATTACAATTGAAATTAAATATAAATTGATATTTTGACATTTTATTTGAATTGTGTTTATAAACAGTTTTAATATTTATATGTTAAAGTTAATAATAATTATGTATTACTAATACTTTATTAGTATATAATAAGTTTTTGATCTTGATACCAGTAAACATTATAGTCACGGATATTCTTTTTAGATCTACAAGCGCATTCACGATTTAATATACGACTAAGCCCCATTTTTTCAGACTTTTAATAATATTTATAACCAAACTACATTCCATAGGCCTATAATATTTTAGAACGTTCAAATGAAGAATAAAAATATAAGGCGAGTTTTTCTTGTAGGTGATATGAGTATGGAAATGAATTTATTTAATGCGTTATTGTATCCAAAATTATTTGACTATATTGCATGTATATATATATATATATATATATATATATATATATAATTTTGCTTTTGCATGAATTCCTAATACCCAGAATTTGCTCATCATTGGCGGCTTTAGTAACGTAATTTTGTTTGCTTATTTCATGCCAACACAGAAGTTTCTTGACGCCTGCCTTACTGTCAAGGTATGCTTTGTATATTATAATATTTAGGAAATTATTTGTCAATACAGCTTGGTTTATAGTTTTGACTATATTTTGATTTCATTTAATGTGAGCATATAAGATTAATAGAAGAATAATTTGTTTGTTTTAAATCAGAAATGAGCATAATTAACGGTAAAGAAACACAAATGTAGTTCTACTTTTATTTGGTTTATACTCACTTCTCTGAAAAATATATGTTGACGACTATTGGCATAATTGAATAATATAATTGAAAAGTGAAGAAGTGAAAAAATTAATTTAATAACAAGTTCTACTTACCGTAAATGGCTCACTAAGCTTTCTGATCTAAAATTCTGGTTTCTCTTACAATTAGACAAAAATCATATCGAACTACTATGCTTACTACTATTCACGTGCCGACTCAAATGATTCCGAATCTATTGAAATTTACTATACATTTATATTTATTTATATTAGTTGAAAAAATTAGAACTATTAAAAAGTTGAAAATATTAAAACTAATCACTAATTGTAGCATGTAAAATGTGACATACTGATGATAAAAACACAGAACTTTGGAAACTTTTGGATTGGAATCATTTAATTTGAATTGGCATCACTCGCAACTATTTTAACATACTCTACTTCTAATAATAATAGTATATAACTTTATAAGAATATCTGTTTATTATATTACTTGCAAATCCAAATGTTAATTCGAGCTTATTGTTATAATCTAGAATGATGAATGTTTTTATCATTAATTATTTTCATTTAATGTGAACGCAGGATAACAATTCAAAAGCTTCAGTATTTAAATTTGTACGCAAACATTCTTGCTTTAGTTTTTTATATGTTCGGGTTGTGGTCGGTATTAGATATAACTTTTTATGTTGTTACATTTCATGTTTGTATATTTATGTATAATGTTTAATTTTATGTTGATATATGTTATTAATTAATACCGCTCTTGAATATAATAATTGATGCAATATATATTTTAGGTATTTTATCATTTTGTTTTTTTATTAATCTGATTTACGATTTTTGCAATACTTCCTCTTAATTTAAAAAAAAAATAATATTGTAATTTTCTACATAGGATTTTGTTTATTACCTTTTCAATTACATCATAATTTATTTATATTATTTTCTGTAAATTTATTTTTATGTAAATTTTATTGAATTAATCACTAAAATTTAATTCAATTCTCGATTTTCTGTGGTATCAAATTAAATTACGTTTTTATTTCATATATGAACGTAATTAATAATAAGTTGCAAAAAAATTGACAAGAATCATAAAGTGTTTGAAAATTATTTACAATATGCTTCTCTGATTTGTTTCTAGTGAAAAAGGTCAAATGAAACATTGGCAAAATACATGGTCTGTTCAAAAAAATTTCGGAATTTTCGTTTTTTCAAAAAAATATTTATTTATTCGTCTACATTAATGTGGTCCCCTTCAAAGTAGTCCCCCCCAGATATAATACACTTATGCCAGCGTTTTTTCCAATTTTCGAAGCACCCTTGATATTCACTTTTTGATATGTCCTTGAGCACTCTCAGCGATTTTCTTCAATCGAGGAAAACCGCCGTCCTTTCATGGGTCTCTTCAACTTTGGGAATAGGAAAAAGTCACACGGAGCCATATCTGGTGAATTTTTGCACTTTGCAACACTTTATTTCATTTTTTACGCAAAATTTAATACAAATTCTTTGACTTTTCAATTCTTCCATTGTAAAAATCGCCGAGCTCAGAAAAACACGTCGAACCTTAGCGACTACCACAGACAAAGTAAACAGTGAATATAGCTGAAAATTTCATCATACTTTAGGGGCATGTATACCAACACAATAAAAAAAAATTTTGACAATCAGACACTCCAGACCCGCGAAATTTAATTATTAGTAATTCCGGGTACTTTTTGAACAGACTTCGTATATTTGTGTGTGTGAATTAACGACTTATTTTATTTCATAAAATTATTGTTATAGCAGTGTTTTATTAAAAGTCTCTAGAAATATTTTTTTTGGTAATTCCATGTCTAAAGTCTTTTCTGATCACTTGTTTATATTTTAACTCATTGCGCTTGTATGCTTCGATATAGACGAAGTAAATACGAATTTTACGGATTAAGAAGAATGTTTCTTTGACAACTTATAATAATCGCACAAAATTTAACAAATTAATGTATAAACGTTTCAATTGATATGTTTGGGAGTTTCTATATGTAACGTGGTATGTTGTTCTATTAAATCCTTTATAAAAGGAATTGATCAATACATTTTATTCTTTCATAATACAGAACTCTTTAAACGTTGATGGTAATAAGGAGGACTTCAGTGATCTTCCGCCAAATCAACAAAGAAAACGACTAGGGGCTCGAGTGCAAGAATTGCAACAGCGAGTGGCACAAGAGACAAATTCTAGAGACGGACTTATGAAAATGAAAAGCGTCTACGAAGCCAATCCTGCTTTAGGAGACCCTATGACCGTAGAAGGTTAGTTTTTTTTCTAAAATAAGAATTGGTTTGATGATGTTTATGAAAATATATATTATTTCCACTATTTAAAAAATCCATGTCACCTTAGACATTGCTCATACGAATTCTACCCTATATAACCGTTAAAGGTTAGTTTTCTTTCTAAAATGAAAAAAAATGAGATAATGTTTATGAAAATATATATTACAGTAACATATATTTACTGAAATAATTATTGTCTAAATATTTTTGATACATACATGATTTAACTATTATTAATTAATGTTGGAAGTTAATTCACCGCTTAGAGAAAAGTAAAAGAAAAGCAATTTTTAAGGCGATGAATGTTTAATAATTATTCTAAGGCCAATCTGTAGTTCAATTGATTGCTTCACAAATAATTCTTAGTTATTTTCAAATTATGTATTCTTTTGCATTTAAGGGTTATAAGTGGCCGCTAAATCATTTGAAGTCTGTAGTTTACTTTGGTTTGATTGGTTAATTTTATTTTTGAAATTTTGAAAACAGAAACAAATCTCGTCATCTCATTTTGTTCTAATAAATACGCACAATGTTTAAAACTAAACTCAAGTTCGCACATCGAAAACTAGCATGAGCAAAATGGAATAAAGATTTATCAATCATTTTCCAGAATTTCCTATCTGACGGTACAATTTTTCATTTATAAATTATTATCAATAAACAACTACTCATTATACTAAGTTACGAAGCAGTTAATAACATATTATTGTTTTCCATATGTGGCTGTGAACATAATATTATCAATATAAGTTAAACGATTTTTATAACAAATCCATTCTGAAATATGTAGTTTTTTTATGTTGTTTATAAATTAAATTTAAAATTAATAGTAATTATTCTAATCTCCAAAAAATATTTTAATTTTTCTACTTCTATTTATTCTTCTTTCTAACAAAATAATAATATGATTAAAGTTTTTCTTGCACAGAGTAGTATTTTTATTACATAAAAGCATATTCTGTGTAAAATTCAAAATATATAAGTACTTACTTATACTAAAAATATTAAATGCATTTAGTTTAGCTAAATAATTTTTACATTTTAATAATATAATGTGACTTGGATAACTGAACATTACATAATTTCAGGTCAATTAAATGAATCTGAACATAAATTAGAAAAATTAAGGATAGAATTGAAAAAATATGAAGGATTTTTAGAGGCTGCTCTTAATCAACAACAGGGCAGTAGTCCGCAGGCTTTAAGAGCGAATGGTGTTAAAAATTATAGGTAAGAAACAAGTGCCAAATATATAATGAACAATTTTGAATATATTGATAATTGAAATTGGGTTTTAAATGATTTATATTTTTAATATCATTTTAAATTTAAGCTATATCAGAAACTTTTTAACTTCCGTAGGGCAAGTTATAGTAATCGCAAAAAAATCGAAAATGAAAATTTTTATATATCTTTACGTTTCAGAGGTTTCTGAACATTTTGGCATACCTTAGAAAAAATGGATGTATGTGTGTGTGTGTGTGTGTATGTATGTATGTATGTATGTGCGTGTGTGTATGTATGTGCGGATACAAATTTTCGTCGACGATTTCGGGAACACGGATCAACCGATTTGAATAATTAAAAAAACATTCGATTCGTATTGATAAGGAGACATGCTGATTAGTTTTTGGCGAAAGCAGGCCTAGCCGTTCCGAAGATACGGGGCAAAAAGTGCCAAAAGCAGTACCTCCGTTTTTAAGAGAACGGAGCGTCCGATTTGAATAATTCAAAAAACATTTTACTTGTATTGACAAGATGTAGAATTGATCAAATTTCATGGAGGCAGGTCTAGCGGTTTCGGAGATCTAATAAAAAAAGTAAAAAAAAATGCCATTCGGCGGTTAAAAATGATCATTAGACATATGCACATCAAAATATCAGATATTTTATAGAGATTTTAACAATGAGTATAATTTTTTTTTACATTTCTATGGGTTCCGTACCAATGCTTATGCGTTAGACGGCGGCGCGGCACTTGCGAGCTTTAACATTTCGTCTCTATGCAGTTCAAGCAGTGCGATTGCTTTGAAAAAAAGTTCAGTATTTCCAAAATATGTCAAAATAAATTTTTTTTCCCCAAAAAATTTTTTGTTTTAAATAAAAAAAATTTTTTTTTTCAAAAAAAAGTAATTTTTTGTCAAATTTATAGTTTCTCAAAAATCATATTTTTCGAAGTAAAATTTTTTCAAAAATGTTAATCGTTTTTGAAAAAATAATAATTATTGATACGGGAAGTTCCAGCAATTTGCCTTAAGGCACGATGCCCTAATTGCCTTAAGACAGAATTCCACTTACAGCTAGTTGATATGAAAATGATATATTTTACCTAACATGCATAGTAGCCCGTTCAGTATAAGTTATTTTTTGATCATACATTTGGATTGGTAGTTCCTTTCAGTGGGACTTCGATAAAATTCTAATTATATACAAAAGTAACGAAAATATTTTATAAATAATCTGTATTAATCAAAATATATATTTTTTTAATAAATATAATATTGTTGTTGTTGTTTATTATGCATTTGATTAATATTTTAATTTTAATTTTAATTTGCATTAAACCTAATAATTGGGCAATTAAGCGATTGTATCATATTATGATACATTAGGTTTAAGGCAAATTATAATTAATATATTAATCTAATACACAACAATATTATATTTATTAAAAAAATATATTTTCATATGTAGTATATTATACTACAGTTTTGAATCAATTTATCAAAAAAAGTTATTTATTTATCGTTTAGAAACTCAAATGGAAGTGGGGATGCAGATGAAGGAAGCTTATCACGATCTGCAAGCGATAGTAGTGTTGCAGGTGGCCAAAATGCAAATAATGCTTTGGCGACAAATGCGAATAATAATCATGGGTAATTAGAAACCGATATAACAAATTTACGACATAATTAAAAGCAATATTAAAAAACAATTGAATTATATTTTACAGCAGCTCAGCAAGCCCTGAATCTGGCTTAGGGGCATCTCACAGTTCATTACCAGGACCTACATCTGTAGAAGTTGATGTTGTTGATACAATAAATAATGATGAAACCTACTATGAAGCAGATACGTTGCAACCGCTTGGTTCTTGCCGTGCTCTTTATCCGTTCGAAGGTATGAGTTGTTTGCTACATTTTAAACTTCCCGAAGGAGAAGTTTTTGTTTTCATCAAAAAATCCGATTCGCTAATTTTATGTTTCCTCAGCGTTTCAAGCCATTCTGAATCGAATGCGACCAAATTTGGAAAAAGTATTTGTGTGTGTGTGTGAACAGATTTTTTGCCGTAAATCGACGTTTTCTCAAAAACAAATCGATTTCCAAAATTCAAAAGCCATTTAATGTATCTCGATGAGGTCTAGTGTTTATCAACTTTACGCAACGAACGGCCATGTCGTTTCTTTGTAAATAGCAGAACAGTGAAAAATTTTCAGCCCGCAATTCTGAATCGATTTTGAAAATTTAAAAACCGTTCGAAAGATATTGGTTGAGAATCGTGCTGATAAGTTTTTGGTAAAGATCGGCCGGGCCGTTTTCTTGTAATAAAGTATTAAATTTTTTTTTTGACGATTTTTATGATTTTTTTTTGACGGTAGATACCACAGTCTTATTATATATAGATCATACTAAAATATTACGGCCCTACAGTCATTTATTTTAAAAATTCGTCAAAGTTTGCAAAAATTAATGTTTTTTTTTTTTTTGACGTTTGTCAAAATTAGAACTTTCATCGACGTTTGCTTAAAATCGCCTGAACCGATTTCAAAAATTTAAATGCCAATCGATGTATTATGCTGTGGATTATCTTTTCTTAATTTTGTGCAACGATCGGTTGCGCCGTTTCTTTGTAAATGGCAGAAAAGTGAAAAAATTGTCCGCGTTTTAGCTCTCAATTCTGCTTAGCTACTCTTCTTACAGATAATTTAAATGTGTTTGAGAAAATTCTATTGGAAATCGCAATGTTTAGATTTAGTTGATAGCAATAACTTTATTTTCGAAATAAATAGTTGAAAATTTTATCTAAATATCTAAATCTCAATTTTGGTTGATTAAGCCAATTCTTTCACATTTCGGGCAAATTCATGCAACTTGCCTTAAGGCTAAATATCACTTTCAATTAGTTCAAAATATATTGTTTGCTTTCCTATTTATTTACATGTATTGTGATGCAAGTTTTAGGACTTTAACCTTAATGTTTTTAATTGTGTAATTTAATTTCTCGTAAGCTAAAAGTATTGGTATAAAGAAAAAAATTATCTAAAACTTATCAATATTATTAGTATGTACTTATTTTTTGTATTAAATCTTTCGGAATGCTCAAGTTTGTTGATTGAAGTATGTGAAGATAAAATACCACAATTAAAAATATTATTTGTAAAAAAGATTTTGAAACCACGGTTTTCATAAATAATTATTCCATCAGCGACGAGCGATGGCTCAATACCAATGGAAGAAGGCGAAGAACTACAAGTGATGGAATTAGATCAGGGTGACGGCTGGACACGTGTGAGACGGTTAGGAGGGCCCAATGGTTGGGAGGAGGGATTTGTACCAACGAGTTACATCGAAAGTACATTATTTGCATAACCAAATGCCTAAACTTGGATCGTGCGGGCATGAGGGGTCGTGGCGTAAGTACAGTATTACATAAATAATATAAGACACTTATTTTTGAAATTTGTCACCTTCGATTAAACTATATAAAATTGTCACGGTCAGTTTCAATAACATTAGTAAGAACTATACACGTTTTTAAGGGTTTCATTCAAGGTTTGTGTTTCAAAGATTAAAGAATTAAAATTTTTAATTAAATATTAAAGATTATTAGTGTTATTTCGTTCACATAAATTGATGGTCTAGCGAATTAAAATTGGATGTGAAAATATCACTCTTTATGGTTTCCTTAACTTTTTCATTTTGATATTACTTATTATTAATTTTAGCAGACTGCTTTTTCTGATATATTTTTTTCAAAGATAATAAGTTACAAGAGCGAATTACTGTTGTATATATATCAGGAAAAAATTGAAACGTTTATGATGTTGCAGAATGTTGTAACTGATCTATGGTGCTTGAAGCTTTGTGATGTCTTGTTGCAAGTAAATATTTCCGGGCTAAGAATATGATGTTGTTATATAAAAATAACAAATGCAGAGAAATATATATTTAGCATTGCGTGGAATATAAACTCCTATAAAAAGTATTTAATTGTGAAATCTGAATCATGTGAATGGAAATTTTTAGTATTAAATTTATTCTCTAAATATTTTACATATACACAATATATTAAATGCAGTAGGTAGTTGATTTCTCCTTTTTCTAATGACTAGTATTTTATTGTGTTGTGAATACTTCATAAACTATTTTTGTGAGTTCCTGAACTTTATTTGGTTCAGAAATATTTTTCCAAATCATTTTTTACAAATATGAATTGCTTATGATAATTTGCTCAAAACTATATAAATGTATGGAGATATGTAAGACTACTACTAGTCATAATGTATTTTTTAATTGATAATTCCAGTGCTACATAATTTAATGGTAGGACATAAAAATAGAAAGCTATCACTGCTAAAATTCATTTAATAGATTAAAGTATTAAAGTATTTATACTTTTATGGTAAAAATTGAATGTATTTCCTATGAATACATAATAGCTATAATCATTATTAATAATCACAGTTTTGTAAATCCATTGTGAAATTTAGTTAAAAATCTCATTCAGAATCTTTGGTGGATTGCATATTGTGATAATGCCTCTAATATGCAAACTAAGGGGCTGGACCTATACTAATACATATTCATTTTAAATTGCTTATATAGATTTGTAAATATTATATTCTTTTAAAAATTAAATATTTGTCAATATGTATATGTGTGCTTATATACCTCGCTGGTATTACAAGCACAAGGTGTATAATGCACAGTATTTTTAGACTAAAGTAAGTAGAGATAATTATGTATGATATGTATTTAAAAATAGTGTTATGTTAGATACATTTTGATAGATAAAATCATCATTTAAAATATTTTGCCAGACAATTATTAGGCCAATTGTTATAAAATTGTATACCACAAGTCAGATTCAGTAAACTCGTAGTTTTAAGCAAAGTTGATACAAACTCTGATAACAAAGGCAATATTTACAGCAAAATAAATAAATATATGAAAAAAAAATCTTACAATAAATTTTTGTTTCAATCAATCAAATTCTTGAATCTCAAAAATATTATATTATCAGTTAGCAAATGACCTTCTGCTTATCTATATCGTTATAATTCAGCAATGCTCTGTTCAGCTGCTATTATGCCTTTGCAATAAGATTCTATAGCTTAATAAAAATACTGATATCTGAGTTTTACTATATCTAAGTGTGTGGTACTGATTTTAAGTTATTTATTACTATTTGTTTGCCATTATTAATTTATTTCTGGTTAAATCCTAAACTTATTCTCATAATGTTGTAATGAATGTGTTTGAATTTGTATTTGTATGGCAGTTGTTTTTTAACAATAAAAAAAAATTATATTTTGTTGAAAAAGCTAAAACTCGGTGGCATGTTTTTCTTGACTGAATGTAATCTTATTAATGAGTAACAAATAGTTTTGAATGTCTATGTTTTGAAGATAAATATATATATATATATCATGAATTCATTTCATAATTGCTATGTACATTCATGCTGAAAATAAAATAATCAATATAAAAACTTTATTTTTTAGATCGTGTATTTAGATAATTTGATAATAAAAATTTATTTATATGTAAAACATGCTTATGATATTACAGTTAGGAATGAAAATATATCAACTGTTTAAATGACTAACTAATAAAATATTAACAAATTATGGATAAATACACTCCATTAATAAATAAATAAATTACCAATATATCATTACTCATTCTACTTTAGGGCCAAATAATTTATTCAGATCAAACATGCAACAACTGTAAAGATTACATAATAAACTGAAGCTTGAGTAATAACAAATTATAATCAGCTGTTATTTATCGATGATGGATGAAGTTTCTTCTGAATAAATAACTTTCTGGCAGTTTATTTGATTTCATGAATATAATTCTTTTATTTAAAATAATATATAAACTGAACATCAAATATAAATTTATTTCTATTGGCATGTAACCAATATAAATATTAGCTCAATATAATATAAGAACTTTCAGCAAATGTTTTAAAAGGCAACAACACCATTTTAAAACTTACATGCAAAATTATGATTGTTTGCTAATAGTATGGCAAAGCTATATTTCTTTGTGATACTTTCAGAACAGGTATTCATTGACTCTCTTCCCTATTTATAGGTCTATTATAAAGAAAATATTTCATATTTGAGCAAATATTCTGCCAGAAACGTGTAATAATTACAGGTTTCATATTCAAAATCTATAAAATGGACAATAAGGCTTTTGATTTGAATGATTTTATCACATTCGACTCAAATAGTCACAGAGAAAACATTTTGTGTTTGTGTAATATTACGTATCACCACTTCCACAACAACTACTGTCTGCTGCAACTTTTCTTTGAGATTTAAGATCTACAGTTAAAGGATCAGTTCCAGATATTGATTCTGCTTTTCGATCATAACTCAACCATTGTCGAACAGCCAAAGTAAAAGCTTCTAGAACATTTTGGGAAGTTTTCGCTGAAGTTTCAATGAAACATGTTATATGGTTATCATTACACCAATCAGCAACATACTCTAGAGATATTTGTCTAGCTTCAGGGGGAACGTCACACTAAAAATGTTTGAATGAGTCATAAAATAAATATAGCAAATGAAAAATGATTCATAATTAAAATATATTGTACCTTATTTCCTACAACTATAAAGGGGAATGTATCAGGTGAAACATCAGCATAGCGCAGGAATTCTTCACGCCATTCTTGCAGGCCTTTGAAACTCGCTGAGTCATCAACAGCATAAGTTAATAGGCAAACATCTGATCCTCTATAAAAGGGAGTTCTAAGTGCTCTGAATCGTTCTTGACCAGCAGTGTCCCAAATCTTGAAATGGATAAATTTTTTTATTAAACAAGAATAATTTTATTTTAGTGTGTTCAGTTCAGCTAAATATGGGAATCAATAAAAAAATAAAAAGGCAAAACTGATGTCAAAATATTAATAGGCGCCCCAAGTGATTTAAAAAAGTGCACAAAGTAAAAACAGCTTCATGTTCATAGAAAGGTAATAAATAACATTAATATAGATTGAGACAGGAATGAAAAAAAAAGGATAAACCTTAGTTATAGAAAAAAATCTATTTACATTTTTTTTTTCATGTGCCATACAATTAAGATGTTTATTTTTGGATTCTCAATTAACTATCATTTTCTATTTAATTTTTTAAATTACATATGTGTGTGTAATCTGCTAATATCAACTATTAAGACTTTTTCCATTATACGTATTTTATTTTTTTAACTAGTGTAGTAAGTTTTTTTTATATTTTATTTGTATTCTTATTTATCATTATATCTATTATTTACATAGATAGTTTTTTTACATTTTTATTTATTATTTTATAATTTTATAATTTTTAAATATTTATTATATATATATATATATATATATATATATATATATATATATATATTGAAGTTGTGTCCACTATAGAAGATTCAAATTAGGATTCGAATTGTATGTATTTTTTAAAAATAATTTTGTTTAATTATTAATAACGGAATAAAAGTGAAAAAACTTGTTGGTTCTTAATTATATGTATATCGGAATGACAATGTAAAGATTGAATGGAGATCATCATTCAGTTGGTTACCAAACAGTTTGCATTTGCAAGTGCCATTTGTTGGATTTATTACAAATTCAATTGATACTGTTTTAGGATTTCAAACCCAAAACAACAGTAAGATAGTCGCCGAAAAAAATTTTACCTCCGAAGATTGTCTGACTGCCCGCGTTACTGAGCCACCTTGCCAACTCAATACACATTTGGGAAAGTATAACAGTTTGAATCTGGTAAAACAGCATAGTTTGGAGCCTAAGAACAGCTAGACAATGTCTTGAAAAAAATTACAAGGAATCACTATTTGAGTCAACTCAGGCTAGTAGATTTATTATTTAAGATTTTTTTTTGTTTGTGTTTTGTAACTGAAATACTGTTTGACTCTGACAATAGTTAATAAAAACGGACGGCGCTAAATAATAGTATTTTCAACTGCTATTAAATTATTTCCAAAAGTTAATCAAGATACACCAATGCTAACTATAATTGAGACTACCACCAGAAAAAAAAACTATATTTGATTCTTGGAACAAATTGAAGTGTTGATTATAATAAAAGAATATGCTAGTTATTGAATCATATTTATTTCTATCAGAAAATTGAACAGTTTAAAGCAAAATGTAATGAGCCATTAAAAAGTTTTGAAATAGGGTTGAAATGCTATTATGATAGATCAATTACTTTAATATTTAATACAAATACGTATAATTTATCCAGATTTATTTTAAAGATATTTTGATGTACAAAATTATATTAGTATATTTGTGTTCTATGTGTGGACTTAGATCCGGTCAAACGGATAATTTTTTTAGACACATTCAAATATTAATAAAATAAAGAACGATTAAGTACAGCACAAGAAAGGTTTTGTAATAAAATCAGTTATGTTTATTATGTGAAATGGAATTAGCACCCACCATTTATGCCTTTGAAACTAGCTTTTTATGCATTAACTGAGCATAATATAAAAATTATTCCGCGACTACATCCTTTTGACTAGACATTTTTTTTGTCTTAAAAGGCTGAAAGAATGTTGTGTTGGAGGAAATTCTGTCAAAAACTATTATCCCACAAACAGAATGCAATTTTTTTGCTCTAATGAAAATATACATAAACATGATGATATGTAATTTTGGTAGGATAAACATGTTTGAATAGGATAAACTTGTTTGACATTATATGAAAAAATAGGTGACTTAAATTTTCAGATATCATCAACACTTTGTACTTTGTACAACATAATTGTAACATAAATTTTAGAATAATGTTACTTTTAATGTAGATAAATTAAGACATTTTATATTTGCTATTTTATTTTATTAGACTATTGTTGATTTTTACTTACGAAAATATTCAAAATCAAATCTATCAAATTTACCTGCAATGTATAATTTTCACCGTCAACTTGAATTTCTTTATTCATAAATTCGACACCAAAGTATGAAAACTGTGTTCATCAAAATGATTTTTGACAAAACGATTCATCAAGCAACTTTTACCAACTCCAC